GACTGAGATTTCAAAATTGTAGAATAGATAAACAAGATTACACTGTATAGCACAGGGAAATATACACAAAATGTTATGATAACTCACAGAAAAAAAAATGTGACAATGAGTGTGTATATGTCCATGAATGACTGAAAAATTGTGCTGAACACTGGAATTTGACACATTGCAAAATGATTATAAATCAATAAAAAATGTTTAAAAAAAAAGGCCTTCATATTTCACAATTTTGGGATATAATAATTTTCAGCAATTACTCAGAGATTTTGAGCCAAGAAATGTATATATGAGATGATGTTTTGTGATTTCTTGCTGTAATTAATTTCATTGACCATCATAATTTGCCATAAATCCAACATAAATAACACTGACCAAATGCACACTTACACATATAGGAAATATACACACAAAAATATATAGTCATATAATGAATAATGTATATAATATTTTTACTGAAGTAATTTTTCTAGAAATTCATGTATAAAATACCACACAAAACTTCTACTATTAGTGATCTTCTGAAAGATTCCAGTAATATCACAAACCATTCAATTTCCAGTCTCATGGATACTGTCATGTGCTTGGAACTCAGTGTTTCAATAGTCAAATTGACAATATAAGCATATATGTGATTATTTTATCAAAACTGGTGACAGGATTAGAATATTCTAGACAGGTAGTAGACACTGAATACTTAAGACATGGCAGGCCACTGGAAGGATGAATAAAGCTCAACCTTGCTTGGAGAGTCAAATGATCCTATGTTGTTTCTTACAGTCAGCTGAGAAAAGAGGTTTGAAAATGCCACTACTTTGAGTCAGGTCCAGGTACAGCTTAGAGGTTAAGAAGAAAAAGCAAACTTGCCACTCTTTAAAAACAAACCACTGAAGGATGAAAAGTATGACTTCTTGGTAACAAGATGCAGTTCCTATAGCTAAACTGTCGAAAACAGGGTTAGTACAGGCGCAGCGCATTGACTTATTAGATCAAAAGTCTGGCATCATTTGCTCACCACTCTGAAGAATTCTGGTCTGATTAAGTGGATCATAGCTGGCCTTCAAAGGTAATTTTCTTGATAATCTTTTTATTTTAAGATGATTTTAACAATGAAAGTACATATTCAACAGCAAATACAGAATTACCTGCTTAGTTTAATAACTGTAATGTGACTGGGGCAGTTTTGGAGATGCCTGGAGGGCACTGAGGAAAGGACTCTTTCTGGTGGAGGAGGGAGGAGGGAGCAGACTCCAAAGGGCCTCCTGAGTGCCCTTGCCAAGCCCCATCATTTTCTTGGTGTTAACCAGAAAAGAAAGAGCTGAACCTCTAAGAACCACGCAAAATATGGATGCTCTAAGAGTCTGTGTGCCACCTTGGTGCAGGGGCCATGATAATCTTTTCAGTATCATTCCAATTTTGGTATATAGGCTGCTGAAGCAAGTACAAATATAACATTAAGATAGAAAAATGTAGCCTTTAGTTAAATATTATATGAATAATACAAAACAGCAACTAACCTTTTCTCTCTGAATTAATATGGGCAGTAAAGTAAAAGGGAACAGGTGTAAGTGGTGAGAAGGGACCCTTCATCCTATTAGTTCAAGTCCCAGGGCTCCTTTCCATTTTTATCTCAGAGAAGGAATCAGGAACTGACAATTAGCCACAGATACATAGTTTACATAAATAATGAACACGTGAAAAATAAGGGGTTGAATGAAAATTATCTGTAACCTGTATTTATATCAACACTTCCTTAAAAACAATTAATTGGCATTTATGGACGTTGAGGTCTGTTAGAAATTACTGAAATAGCTACAGAAAAGGAAAGATTCAGATACTTTAGGATTAAATTAAGCACATGACAATTCCCGCTCCCAAAACTGAGAACTTTTGCTACATAACACCCATCACTGACAACTCTTGTATGTCTCTCACATCATGTCACATTGATGTCACTGAAGAGGTGAAAGGCAGTGTATCTGGGCTTGTGTTGTAATAAATCCAGACCTAGGGAATTAAAAACAAAAGGAAAAATATCTACTAAAGCATACCGTGACCATCAGATCCTTCCATTGACTTTAACGTATTTCTTGTTTGTTCTAGCTCAGACTGTGCAGATTTTAACTGCATCTTCAGCTTATTTGTAGTAGTTTCCATTTCTTCACTTTTGTTTCGAAAATTCCTTTTTAAGACTTCATAGTCCTCTGTACAACATAATAATCAATCATAGACGGTTACTTTTTTCTAAGCCATTGTTATAAAGTGTATTTTATTTGTAATTAATGATCAGAATTTTAGAGCTGAAAGAAACTCCATTTAGTTACATCATCATTTGTTACAGAAATTAGATGAACATACACATTTCTAGGGATCTAACTTTTTTTAATTTGCTTGGATGGGTCTTTTCCTTTCTTACCATTTACCGCTTTTTTTCCAGCCTGTGTAATTGGCTCACATCTATTTCATCTTGAGCCTTTTTAGATAGTCATATCCACCACAACAGTAGGTGGATGAACCTCTATCTGTAGGTAGAGGAATCTCCATGACATGATGAGTAACCTGAGGCTGCCTTGTGTCTTATCTGATTTTTCATCTCTAGTAACTATCAAAATACCTGATATTCGTCATTCATATACAAGAATACACACACACTTTTTCAATTATCTATTTATCTACATTTATATTTTTATATGTCATTGACAGATTTACATATAAAGGAAACAAAAAGAACCAAGACCTCTCTGCTGAGATCTGACTCTGTCTATCCAGATATTTCCACATGGATGCCCTGGTGCCCCCAAATCAAAGGCCTCCACTGACTACATGTCTCGCCCTCCTGGCTGCAAGCCTCCCCCAAGCTGGTTTCCTTCTCTCAGGTGCTGGTATCATTGTTTTCCCTGTACTGCAAATTTAAAACCTGAAACACATACAGCCCCTATGATAATTAAGTACCATTGATTCAATCTCCAAAAATATCCTTAATTCTTTTCTCGCCTCTCATTCTCACTGCCACTGCCTCAGTTCAAGTTCTCGTCATCTTTGCCTGGGACCACTGCAAAATCCTTAACTGGCTGGCCTCTGTCCCTTAAGGCTTGCCTTTCTTTTTACGTGCTGACACTGTCCTTCTAAAACGTAAATTTTATGACAACAATCTCTCATTTAACACCTTTGCTGGCCCCACACTGTCTGGCTCTACCTATCTATTCCGCCTCATTTCTTTGTCCTCATTGCTTTGCACTTTTACTCCTACAAATACTTCTGAGGTCACATTATGTTATTTCATGCCTTCATACTTCTGCTCATAATGTTCTCTCTGCCTGGACTGCCCTTCTACCTCTTTTTCACCTGCCAAATTCCTTTTCCCCCATCAAACTTAGTACAGATGTCACCTCCTACCGGAGGCTGATTCTCCACCCTCTGCTACATCTGCACCCAGCACACGCCCACTGTGCCTCACCCACTGTACTATAACCCGTTTACACAGGTCTGCTCCCACCTAGCCCGGGGCCTCACTGTTGTCTCCGGGCCTGCCAACATCTGGCAATGTAAATGCCCAGGAACCGCTTGGGTGTGCGTGTGTGTGTGACTTAAACAATACCTATACCACACTAATGGTGAACTAGGAGTGTTTCATTTTAAAATGTAAGGCCTTGGGTTTCTCTGTTTTAATACATTTGCATAAATTTGCATAAGTATTCACACGTGCTGCTTCATTATCAAACTTCTAATCAAAGCTATTTGACTCAAAAGACTCAAAGTTTTCACTTCCCTCACCCTTCTCTTGGAAACTCAGTAGAGAATTTCATAGACTCTGAGGGCTGATTAAAGTGAATGGTTACTAAGTGCAAGAAACAGAAGCACTTCAAGGAGAAGAATCAGGATTTGGTGATGAAATATCTCCACTGAGGCAGCACGATTTTCCATGTCTGTAATGTGGGAAGAGGAATCATTCTTTTCCAACAGTCCTAGTATCCACCCTGAACCTCACTGAGAGCACTCCTATTCTTTAGCAGAATTTGAACGAGAGTAACATACCTGTAAGACTGTTTAACTCATTCCTACTAGTTTTCACCTCACTTAGTAAATGATCTCTCTCTTGTTTGATGTCCTTCACTGCACGGAGCCGCTCAGAGCCTGCATTCACCAGTTTCACTTTTTCCAGCTCCAAGTCACTCACTCTGGCCTCCAGCTCCCGTATCTTTGCATCTTTTTTATCTTTCAAAATCTAAATATAAGTATAAAAACAAAAAACAGAGTAAGAAACAAAAAATATCTATATAGTTAGAACTGACATCATATTAATATCCTACCAATATTTAATATTTTTTCACTATTTTCCAGGATATCGAATTTATATTTTATTATAAAGCAGCAATAGTAAGTGGAAACACAAAAGGAATAGTTTACCTTTCTTTTAACCTTAGATGTCAATTCCCAGTATCACTGGCCACAACCCTTCATTATTCCTGTTCTATATATTCATTCATTCAAAAAAATGCACTGAGCACCTGTTTTGCGTAGCAGGCGAGGCGCGCGAGGCCCTAGGGGAGTGCCTGCTTGAGCTCTGCGCTCAGGCGCCTCCCTGCCCTTCCCCTGCCCTGGCCATCTCTAGCCGTAAACAAAACAATGTCCTTGTCCTCTTGGGGCTTTCACATTCTAGTGAAAGACAGATTGACAACAACAAATACTTAACAGCCAGATAATAGTAACAGACAAAAAAAAAAAAGAATAAAAAGATGAGGGGGTAGAGAATGACACGGGGAGGAGTTGCTACTTGAGCCAAGCTGGAATGTGGAAGAGAGCCTGACTGCTACCCTTCTGAAAGCCTGCAGGCAGGCTGGCTGTTGGCCGGTTGGGAAGCCTGGATTTGGAGAGGGTTCCCACCAGTCTAATGGGTAAGAATGGCCCGCTGTGCCTAAACTGCTCTGCAAACAAAATGATTTACGCTCAACGCCTGCTTTCCTTTTGGGAGACTGCTCCCTTGCCTGTATGATCAGCCCCCAATATAAAAACCCTGCATGTGCTTTTTCCTTTTGCTAATTTTGTTTTAGATGCTTCCAATGTAATAAATCCTATCCATGAGCATGACTATCTGCTGAGTCCTGTGAGTCCTCCTAGTAAATGAGAACCTGGAAGTGGTCTCGGGGACCCAGACACAGTTCGTCAGGAAAGGCCTCTCTGATGAGCAGAAACCTCAAAGCAGTGGAGCAACTTCCCCTCCCCCTCCCTTCCCCTGCCTCTGAAAACCACAAATTTTGAATAAACGTTAGAAGTTGAAAGAAAAAAATAAGCTGTATGTGATTTGTCTCCTACTAGTTACCAGGCAGATACAGGTAACATAAAGCTTAGGAAATTAAATTTTTAAAAATTCCTTCAGTAGCTTTAAATTTTGATAAGTATTCATTGAGCATCTGCTGGGTGCAAGGCACAAAGTCATGGGGCAGAGATACAAAGATGAATAAGACATGTACCCTGCTTGAAGAAGTCTGCAGTCTTACAGGGAAGAGGAGCCACTGCTATTTACACACACACACACACACACAGAGTGCAGTACAGAATGTGATCCAGGTTACAACAGGTATAAACAAAGTGTGGAATCAGGGAAAGGAACTAATATTATCTAAACATCTTCTACAGACCAGGAACCAAGCTAAGTCCTTGATATACATTTTCTCATTTAAGCCTCAAGTAACCCCATAAACTTATGGGATTTTTTGTTTTGTTTGTTTTTTGGTTTTGGTTTGGTATACAGACATAGAAGCCAACATTCAGCAAATAGTCCAGTGTTTTACAGTTACTGAGTGGTGAGAGATGGGGTCAAATTTAGGTCTGTCTGAAGAGGGAGAAGATACTTCTTCAAACTGTGGGATCAGGAAAGGCTTCATAAAGAAGCTGCATTTTCTGATTTTTCTCTGAATCTGGAATTCTGCACCATCTGGAGGCCACTCCTTTTGAAGTCTAACAAAAGAATGGATCCTTTCTAACAAAAACACACATTTGCACCCTGACACAAACACTTTTGGAGTGTCCACAACTGTCCTACAGAACCTCGTTCCAGGAAATGAGGTCAACCTCACCCAGGGGAAAAAGGTATTCCAGCAGCCAAGCCCGGAAACCCCCGGAACCCTGCACAGACCTTGACCTCCTGCAGCTCCAGCCTCCGGTCGTTGATCTCCTTCTCCAGTTGGGCTTTCTCCACCTGCATGGCGCCTGCCGTCCGGCCGTGCTGGCCCACCAGCTGCGTCATGTTTTCGATCTGCTGGCGCAGGATCTCGATCACTCTGTCCTTCTCTGCCATCTGCAGCCTGAGGGCCTCGCACTCCGTCTGCACGTTCCTGAGGTGGTCCCCTTCATTTTTCAGGTGCTGCAGCTCCTGCAGCTTCAAGTCCACGCGGGAGCGTAGCTTCGTGATCTCCGCGTTGGTGGCCTCGATGGCCCTC